GGAGCTCTGACAGTCCCAGGGCTGTCAAGGCAGGGTGGGAATTTTGACCAATTTGGGTGGAAATTTGACCGATTTGGGTGGAAATTTGACAGATTTGGGTGAGAATTTGACGGATTTGGGTGAGAATTTGATGGATTTAGGTGAGAATTTGACAGATTTGGGTGGGAATTTGAACAATTTTGAGATATTTCTATGGATTAATGGGATCCCCCTTCAGATGAGAGGTTTTTATTGATATTGGAGATATTTCTATGGATATTCGAGAAGTTTCTGTCCCTCAGGCCCCCTTAAAGCCACCAGGGAGATTTTTAGGGGTTATTTTGTGACCCCAAATCCAGCCCCCAGTGGGTTTTCAGCCCCCGGTGAGTTTTTAGCTGCAAATAAGGTAAAAAAGAGAGCTCAGAGAGGCGTTTCCTGCCCTTTGGTTTCCGCTTCTGCAGCAAATCAACCCCAAACCTGGTGACAGAGGTGACAGATTCCGCCTCCCCCAGATCTGGTGACGAAGCGGCAAAAATTAGACCCCGAAGCAGGTGACAGGTGACAAAATCAACCCCAAAATCAGCGGACGGGTGACAAAATCAGCCCCAAAATCAGGTGAAAGGTGATAAAAATCAGCCCCAAAATCAGGTGACAGGTGATAAAAATCAGCCCCAAAATCAAGTGACAAAATGAGGGGAATCAGCCCCAAAATCAGCGGACGGGTGACAAAAATCAGCCCCAAAATCGGGTGACAGGTGACAAAAATCAACCCCAAAATCAGGTGACAGGTGACAAAATTCAGCCCCAAAATCGGGTGACAAAGTGACAAAATTCAGGCCCAAAACCAGGTGACAAAATCAGGGGCCAGGTGACAAAAATCAACCCCAAAATCAGGTGACAAAATGACAAAATCAGGTGACCCAGGTGCCCGAAGGTGACCCGGGGCCACCTCCCGTGTGTCCCCTCTCTGTCCCAGATGTCCCCGGGCTGCGGCCGGAGCTCCTGGCGCCGCTGCTGGCGCTCGCTGCCGTCGTCATCGTCACCGTCACCGTTGTCACCTTCAGGGCCATCCGCCTGGCCAAACGTGAGTTCGGATTCCCAAAATCCCAAATTCCTGGGAAAGAATGCCGAGGTGGACGAGGTCAAGGCGTGACCGGTGGTCACTTGGTGTCCGGTGGTCACTTAGTGTCTGGTGGTCACTTAGTGTCTGCTGGTCACTTAGTGTCCGCTGGTCACTTGGTGGTCACTTGGTGTCCGGTGGTCACTCGGTGTCCGGTGGTCACTCGGTGTCCGGTGGTCACTCGGTGTCCGGTGGTCACTCAGTGTCCGCTGGTCACTTGGTGGTCACTCTGTGTCCGCTGGTCACTCTGTGTCCGCTGGTCACTTGGTGTCTGGCGGTCACTCAATGTCCGGTGGTCACTCAGTGTCCGGTGGTCACTTGATGTCTGGTGGACACTCAGTGTCCAGTGGTCACTCGGTGTCCGGTGATCACTCGGTGTCCGGTGATCACTCGATGTCCGCTGGTCACTCGGTGTCTGGTGGTCACTCAATGTCCGGTGGTCATTCAGTGTCCGCTGGTCACTTGGTGGTCACTCGGTGTCTGGTGGTCACTCAGTGTCCAGTGGTCACTCGGTGTCCGGTGGTCACTCAGTGTCCGCTGGTCACTTGGTGGTCACTCGGTGTCCGCTGGTCACTCGGTGTCCGCTGGTCACTCGGTGTCCGGTGGTTCTCCAGGGGTGGCGGCTCCGAATGTCGTTTCCGATGTCCGGCCGCCTTTTCCGGGGGGAACAAATTCCTCCTGGAAGAGTTAAAACCCTTGGGAAAGAGGAAAATGTGATTTTTTTAATCCAAGTGTTAAAGGCGGCGGGGGGAAAATGGTTCAAAAAACCCCATTTTTAGGGAAAAAAAAAAAAAAAGATTTAAAAACGTGGATGGAATTTCCCATGGATTCTTTTCCCATGGGATGGGTGTCCATGACCACCTCCCACGATCCCGATGGGAATCGGATCATCCCGACCCAAAAATCGGAGGGAGCAGCTCCTCTTCCCGTTCTCCGGGTGGAGATCAAATCCCAGGAATCACCCCAAAGGAGCCGGAAATCCCCCGGAAATCCTTGGGAATCTCACCCCGAGCTGGATGTGGCCGGAATTGGGATCTTCTTTGGGATCTTTGGGATCCTCCCCCGGCTCATCCCTGATGAGCTTCAAGGAGGGGGAAATCCCAAAAGGAGAATTCCAGAGGGAGCTGGGGGGGGGGCTCAGCCTTGGGGGGGGGATCCAGGGGGAATTCCGGAATCTTCCGGAGGGATTTGGGATTCCAGGATGGGAAATCCGGGAAAATCCCTCGGGGAAAGGCATGGGAAGGAGCTCGGGGAGGTTCAGGAGCGTCCCTGGAAGTGCCCGAGGAATTCCCAGAGGGGAATTCCCGAAGAGGGGGCGGGGCTCCATCACCTTGGAATTCTCTTCCCGCCGGGATGATCCCGGGATTTTGTGACTCTTTCCCAAAAGGTGACCGGGACCCCCCCCAGGACACTCTGGACACGTCTCCGGACACTCCGGACACGTCTCCGGCCGCTCCGGACAGCGCCGGAGCCACCATCTACGCCCAGGTGCAGGTGGGAAAAACAGGGAAAACGGGAAAATTTGGGGGGAAAACGGGGAAAAATGGGGTGAGAAAGCGGTGGGGGGAAAGGGTGAAGGAAAGTGGGAAAAAGGGAAAAAGGGAGGGAAAGATGGAAAGGGGGAAAAGGAGGGAGAAAGGAGGAAAAAAGGGAGGAAAGGAGGAAAAGGGAGGAAAAAGGGAAAAAAACGGAGAAAAAGGGGGGAAAAAAGGGGAAAAGGGAGGAAAAAGGGAAAAAACGGAGAAAAAGGGAAAAAAGGGGAAAAGGGAGGAAAAAGGGAAAAAATGGAGAAAAAGGGGGGGAAAAAAGGGGAAAAGGGAGGAAAAAGGGAAAAAACGGAGAAAAAGGGAAAAAAGGGGAAAAGGGAGGAAAAAGGGAAAAAATGGAGAAAAAGGGGGAAAAAGGGAAAAAGGGAGGAAAAAGGAAAAAAATGGAGAAAAAGGGAAAAAAGGGGAAAAGGGAGGAAAAAGGGAAAAAATGGAGAAAAAGGGGGAAAAAAGGGAAAAAGGGAGGAAAAAGGGAAAAAAATGGAGAAAAAGGGGGGAAAAAAGGGGAAAAGGGAGGAAAAAGGGAAAAGGAGGAAAAGAGCAAAAAAGGGAGGAAAGGAGGAAAATAAGGAAAAGGGAAAAAGAGGGGGGGAAAAAAAAGGGAGGAAAAAGGGCGAGAGTGACGTCATAGCGACGTCACCCATCCCTGCTTCCCGGGAATTTGGGAATTTTGGGAATAAAGCCAGGCCACGCAACTTCCCAGACCCCCAGCGGGGCGGAACTCTGGGATTTTCCCCCTTTTTGGGCACAAACCCGGCGGGAAAAGGCGGGAGCGGCCCCGTGGGGACCCTCGTGTCGCTGCCCGGGGTTTGTCCCCTCCTTCAGAAGCCCAAAGGAACCGTCCCTGATGCCACCACCATCTACGCCGTGGCCACCGGGCCGCTCCTCGGAGCCCCCCGGAGCCTCCCGGATGAGCCCCCACAGGGACGCCATCCTCTGTCCCAGGTAAGGGGGGGGATCGTCCCCAACCCCGCCCTTGGGGGCACCCCCCGGGTCAAATTCGGTCCCCCCCCAAAATTTGTGTCCCCTCCAAGGAGCCCACCACGGTTTACGCCAGCGTGACTCTGCCGGTGGCCTGAGCCTCTCCTGGAATCCCGGGGGATCCTGTTGGATTTGATTCCCTTTGGGAATCCCGGGGGATCCCGTTGGATTTGATTCCCTTTGGGAATCCCTGAGCAGCCCCAGACGGGATCTGGGGGATGGAAAATCCGCCCAGTGGAGCGGCCGGAGCGGCGTGGGACGGTCAAGCGAGGGCTGGAACCTTCCCCGGCCGCCGCTGAGGAACTCCAGCAGGATCCTGGAGCGGCGGAGAAGGGAGAGAGGCTGGGGATGCGCCCCTGGAGCTGGGAATGCCGGAAATTCCCGACGGGAATGCTCATTCCCACACCTGTGGCTCCCGGATTTGGACTCCGACCTCATCCCCGCGGAATTCCACGCCGGGATCTCATCCCCCGGCCCCGATTTCCCAAGGGAGCCCGCGGGGGCTTCGGAGAGGAAAAACGAGAAGTGGTTTTAATTCCTGAGCTCTGGAATGGGCAAAAAATCCCAAATCCGCCAGATTTTGCCCCAAGGAGGGAGGAATTCTGGTGACCTCTCCGTGGGAGAAGCCAATCCCACCGAACTTTCCCATTCCCATCCTTTCCCGCGGATTTTGGGGGATTTTTTAATCCGAGCTCGTGGATTGTGGCGGAGGGAAAGGAAAACAAACTCGGAATTCCGTGAAATCTTTTGGGATTGGATCCTGGAGGAGTTTCCCTGGCTGGACCGGGATTTTGGGGGAAGAGAAACCGAAGGAACGGGTCAGGCTCATCCTGGGTGCCTCAAAATTGGCGGAAAAACCCCGAATTGGACTTGAAGCTGGTTTAAAGGACTTGGAGCTGGTTTAAAGGACTTGGAGCTGGTTTAAAGGAACCTGGAACTGGTTTAAAGGACCTGGAGCTGGTTTAAAGGAACCTGGGACTGATTTAAAGGACTTGGAGCTGGTTTAAAGGAACTTAGAGCAGGTTTAAAGGAACCTGGGACTGGTTTAAAGGACTTGGAGCTGGTTTAAAGGACCTGGAACTGGTTTAAAGGAACCTGGAGCTGGTTTAAAGGACTTAGAACTGGTTTAAAGGAACCTGGAGCTGATTTAAAGGAACCTGGGACTGATTTAAATGACCTGGAGCTGGTTTAGAATGACCCAGAACTCATTTAAAGGACCTGGAGCTGGTTTAGAAGGATCTGGAACTGGTTTAAAGAGTCTGGAGCTGGTTTAGAAAGATCTGGAACTGGTTTAAAGAGTCTGGAGCTGGTTTAGAAGGATCTGGAACTGGTTTAAAGACTCTGGAGCTGGTTTAGAAAGATCTGGAACTGGTTTAAAGAGTCTGGAGCTGGTTTAGGGGATCTGGAACTGGTTTAAGGGATCTGGAACTGATTTAAGGGATCTGGAACTGGTTTAGAAGGATCTGGAACTGGTTTAAAGGTCCTTCTCCCAGCAGGATCCTGGACCAAAACCCTACAAACGCTGCAGGAACTCCCAGGCAGGCTGGGGGAAACTCTTGAAAAATTCTTTTTTCACGGAATTCTGGAATTCCTGGAGTCGGAAAAGCCCTCCAGGACCATCGATTCCAGCCTGGGACCAATCCTGGTCACCCAGACCAACACCCAGTGGGTTCCTCGGACACCTCCAGGGATGGGGAAGGCTCCAAACCGTCTCCTTTTTCAAAAAACCCTTTTTTTTCCCCCAAAAAAATTCTCTCAGGATTTATTTTTTTTTAAATTTTTTCTAAAAAATTATTTTTATGCTAATCATTTATTTTTTTTATTTTTTTTTTCCTCCTCATCCCCCTGCGTTTCGAACCGCACGAAATTTCAGTTTCTCGCTCAGCCGAAAACAACCAAAAATAACCCCAGGAAGTCGAAGCGAGAACCGCAAAAATTCTGCCCCCCAACCTCGGGTTGGGGTTTTGGGCAAGTCCTGGAGATTCCCCCCACTCCTTGTCCAAACCTCCAGCCCTTGCCATGGAGAAATGGATCTGTGGGGTGGAGAAATGGATCTGTGGGGTGGAGAAATGGATCCGTGGGGTGGAGAAATGGATCCGTGGGGTGGAGAAATGGATCTGTGGGATGGAGAAATGGATCTGTGGGGTGGAGAAATGGATCTGTGGGGTGGAGAAATGGATCCGAGGGGTGGAGAAATCATTCCTGAGGTGGGAAAATAATTCCATGGGGTGGAAAAATAACTCCATGGAGAAATGGATCCATGGGGTGGAGAAATGGATCCGTGGGGTGGAGAAATGGATCTGTGGGGTGGAGAAACAATTCCATGGGGTGGAGAAACAATTCCATGGGATGGAGAAATGGATCTGTGGGGTGGAGAAATGGATCCGTGGGGTGGAGAAATGGATCCGTGGGATGGAGAAATGGATCCGAGGGATGGAGAAATGGATCCGTGGGGTGGAGATACAGATTCCATGGGGTGGAGAAATGGATCTGTGGGATGGAGAAATGGATCTGTGGGGTGGAGAAATGGATCTGTGGGGTGGAGAAATGGATCCGTGGGGTGGAGAAATGGATCCGTGGGGTGGAGAAATGGATCTGAGGGATGGAGAAATGGATCCGAGGGATGGAGAAATAGATCTGTGGGACGGAGAAATGGATCTGAGGGGTGGAGAAATGGATCTGAGGGATGGAGAAATGGATCCGTGGGGTGGAGAAATGGATCCATGGGGTGGAGAAATGGATCCAAGG